TCCTGGTTACTATCTCCACCTGGTGTTCTGGTGCATCTAGTGTTGATGTTCATCCTAGACTGAAGTGGTATTGATGTGAGGTGGTGTACATGTTGTACAAGAAACATGTTAGTCATTGATAGTCATAGCATTGATGAACAAATGACTAACATGTTTCTTGTGTATTTGATGTCTCCTGTGTATTCATATGTAGATTGATTAACTTGAGTGATAATTTAGTGACTAAATATGCACTAARTTGTGACTATTAGTTAATAACTATTTTGTTTCTATTTCACGGATCAGTACCATCGCTCTATTGATGTTAGGTTAATTTTTCTTTTAAATCAGAACGATTTGGACACGAATACTTCCGGTTACGACATCATCATTCTGAAATTTTTGGCGGGAAATGAAAATTCATGAAAAACAAAAGTTAACTGATTGGTTAATACAGACAATAAGGGGTCTTATTCTCAACTTTAATGCATGGGCACTTTTTATCCTACACTGCACATGAAGAACTATTGTGTCCGTGCAAAGTGTACCTCAAATTTGATGCAAATGAGCTCAATCGAAATGCTTTATGGGGCGTAAAAAACCCAGGAAATATTTAATACATTCTGCTTTGTGGCCATCTCTCAGTCAGTTTTTGATCCGGTTAGCAGCAAGTCTTTGAGACTGAAGCGTCGAAATACCCAACAACCTAGGTAAGGAAATTCTAGTCTATAAGGCTGCGTTTACATGGTACCGGGCGAATTTTTAACCGAATTTTTTGTACCGTACGTTTTGTTTACACGGAACCGGATCCAAATTTGCACGGCTAGGCGTACGAATTTTTGTTCGGATAGCTAAGTCCCGCGTGAACGAAATCTCTGAATGTACAATTTTTTGACCAGGGTCAAAAATTCTTCCGGTATCATGTAAATGCTGCCTAAGTAGAGAATTCACTGACTGAAATGTCTGGCTGATTTATCATCATTTAGGTACAATGACGGCCAAAGCGTTGGATGAAAATTTTACAGATAAAGATTCTTGTTGTAATCAAAAGTTTAAAATCTTTATTAATCTCTGCATCCCAAAGCCGATAAATATATATAAAAGAGAATTCACTTCTTTACTAAGTACTTGTTAAACATTTTCTTAGGTCATTGGCAAAATTAAGCAACAACAGGTGATGTTTTGGCTTGGTGAATAAAAGCGCGCCCTTTTCCTTTCCATGGTTCATGAATTTTTACCGCCTTTATGAACGGCTTAGCAGTTGACTCGTCATTCAGTGAATTTGATCTGAATAAGATGCTTTGCTGTCTGGTACAGGATTTCAAAAATGAAATATCTTGAATGATGTATAGTTTAAATATTCAAAGAAAGCCAATATATAGATTTTATTTTTGATCCAAAAAATATAATTAGTATAATTATGCATAACTATTCTATTAAATTTGCATACATTAAGTTTTAGTCACAGCATGTCAGTCAAGTCCATCTTTTAAAACTCAATCAATCAAACGCTGTTTAGCCAGCCTTGAAAAAGGACTAGTTTTCTTTTTGTGACTCAGTGTAGCCCTGAACAGTCTTCCATGGTGTTGTATAATTCTGCATAAGGCACTGATGATTTTTTGTGTGAATAGGGACGCAGAGTAGAACACGTATGAGAGATGGACATTCCTTCACCTATGTTGTGTGACACATGCGGTCCTTTCCAAATAAACTAGAGACGTTTACAGAGGACAACAAGTTTTTCAATTGAATGGGTTTTTCTCGGTGTTGCAAGCTTTAATGTTAATTCTGGGTTAGGGTTTGTTTTGCAGGATATTGTCTAGCTCCAAATTTCATTATCCTTGGCTATTGTTATTTGGTCTTCATGCCTCAGGTCACTTGCAACGCCAATAGTCAGTTGAAATTACTGTCAAGTATCATCCTCTATAAACAAAGTTGGTTTAGTTTTGTCTTGATATGTTTCAGCAGATTGAATACAAATTAAACTATGAAGTCATTGTCGCTAGTTCTCGTTCTTCTCCTGATCCTGTTGGTCACAACTGAAGCTAGACACTATGGTCAGTACGATGACGATGAACAAGAAATGATGTTGGAATTGAAAGGTGAGTAAAAGCGGAATGCATGATGGAAACCCAACAGCAATTCATGTTCTTGTGTAGATAGGAGGAAAATAATAATAATAATAATAATAATAATAATAATAATAATAATAATAATTA